GGGATCATCTCAAACTTTGTCCAAGTGATGAAAAGTTGACTATGTTTATAGAGTATTCATTATTTTATTTTCACCTGTGAACTGTCATTCTGCTCTGCAGGTCTCAAGACTTACAACTGTATCAATCCCTAAGAACAAAATGCAAGTACAGTATGCGCCAAAACGTGCAGTACTGGAACTCGCGCATCTTGAACGCGCATGTGCATTTGACGATGGGACATAGCTCCAGCTGCATGTGTTCCCAGTAGTGAAAAAGAAGTTGTATTGTGCAGTTGTTGTTGGAAATGGGTCTCTCAACAGAGGAAAAAGTATTCATAGTTGAGTATTATTTCCGCTCATATGGAAGTGGTCGCCAGATAACTCGCTTCCTTGGTTTTGAGCAGCCAGATGCTATCATCCAGAAACTGCTACATAGTACACGTGTGACGATGTGGTGTGCCATTTCAGCACACGAAATATTATGCCCCTTCTTCATTGAGGATGAGGAAGGGAATGCTACAGGGACATGGTGATCAGACCATTTCTTCAGGATTTGAGAAGGTTCTGTCATGCAAGGGGCCTTCACATGAATATACAGTGGTATTAAGAGGATGTCTTTTCATTTCAGTACTGTATATGTTTTGGAAGACACCTGAGGAAAGGCTATGTTTCAGTGTGTTTAAATTTCATACTTTTACAAAAAATGATAATTACTATTTTTTAACTTTAATTACAGCCTTCTAGGGCTCTTGTGAACACGGTAATGAACCTTCTGTAGAATGCTGGGAAATTCTTGAGTAGCTGCAGAATTGGCGGCTCCTCCAGAAGGGTTCAGCTCCATGAATAAGTAAGTAAGTAATTCCAGGCTTCTAGTGCAGGGGATTTAGTTATTTAAATGCACACGCCAAACGTCTTAAATTCAAGCTGAGAAGTAGGAAGTATCAACTGACTGACGTGACACAACTGGTCACACATTACGTTTTCACACACAGTTTTACTGACAACAAAAATTGTCTCAAGTTAGAAAATGCTTCACATGCTACTTATGATGGTAACTGCAGGAAAATAAAATTGTTCCACCATCCATTATTACTGCATGAAGGTCATTCAAATCTAACCCATTTGCGGCACTGCTGGCAAACATACATAGGTCGTACCGAAAGTCATGAGCAACTTTCTTTTGCATGCAACCTGGGAACAGCAGACGAAAGAGAGTATGGTGGTAGGTGGAACCAGCTGTTGTGTTAACCTTGAGTGTCTTGTGACGTCAATAGCTAGCATCATGTGAACAGTATCACTCCTAACAAAATGGCCGACAACGATATGTCATTTTGCCAGCATGCTGTCATCGAATTTCTTGTGAAAGAGGAAATCCCTGTTGCAGAAATTCACCAGACTTCATTGTGCTTATGGAAGTGTGTGCATGGGTGCGAGCAGTGTTCAAAGATGGGTGAAACATCTTAAAGATGGGAACACCAGCATCGAAGGTGAGCCTCAGAGCGGTCGTCCTCGAACAGCCTCAACTGAACGCAACAGGGAAAGAGTGGATGAGCTCATTGAAGATGACAGGCGTGTGACTGTGGACACAATAGCCCGAAAACTTGGAATAGGGCACAGTGCAGTACAGGAGATTGAAAGCTTGGGTTATAGGAAAGTTTGTGCTCGTTGGGTCCCACGGTTATTGACCAAAGTCCATAAAGGTCATCAAAAAGCCATCACCTCAGAACTGCTGCAGAGATATCGACACAAAGGCGATCATTTTTTGCTCAGTATTGTGACAGGTGACGAAAGCTGGTTTCACCATTTCGAGCCTGAAACGAAATGGCAGAGTATGGAATGGCACCATTTGCATTCTCAATCAAAAAAGGAGGCAAACGCAGTGCCATCAGCTGCGAAGGTGATGGGCACAGTCTTCTGGGATGCAGAGGGGTTTATTCTGGCCGAATTCCTGGAACCTGGGCAAACCATCAATGCTGCTCGTTATGTCCAGACACTGCCAAAGCTCCGTTGTGCATCGCGGGATAAACGTCCGGGACGAAACATCATCATCCTGCATGACAACACTCGCCCCCATGTCGCTCGCCTCACATTGGAAGCAACTGCAAAGATGGGGTGGGAAGTTCTTCCAAACCCCTCCTATAGCCCTGATCTGGCACCCTCCGACTACTATCTTTTCAGATTTGTGAAGGATCAGCTGCGTGGATAACGTTTTGAGACAAGGGAGGAAAAGAAGTGGTGATTATGTGGAAAAATAAAGAAAGGTCTGTAGACTGAGGTGGTGTATTTGGTTTGTCAATAATAAAGCATGTTACTTTACAAAAAACTGTTGCTCATGACTTTCAGTATGACCCTCGTAGCTAGCTGCAGGTGATGGATTATATGGCAGTGTGTATGACAAACCAGAAGTCAACTATGGGCTGTGCAAAAGAATGGATACATTAGAAGATATAGAAACAGTGCTTCACTGTTAATTAATGGTGTTTCAGGGCAAATGAAGCTCACACTAGACTACAACACTGTTATTCATTTCCTTAGTGCTGAGAGTTGATGCTGGCATTCAAGGATCTGCTGAAGATTGATGATGGCATTCTAGGATTGCGATACCAACACAGTGCTACTGTGGAACCTCCCAGGACCTTAGTACTGCAATCAAAAAAGTGGCCTGCCATGCCCATGAGGAGTCCCACTTTCCTGGAGTACTAAGCCCATCCCCATGTACATCCTCCCCCACACAAGACAGGCCTGTCACCATCCTAGTTTCGGGTTGGAAGAAGACATCAAGGTTCCAGCAGCAGCCCAGCAAGTCATCTGCAGGGAGGATCCAACAGCTGGTGTGTCAATGGGATACTTGCCCAATGTCCATGGGCTTTCTTTTCAACAGCCTATGCTCCACACAGAACAATTCCCAAATGGGTTGCATTTGAAGAATCCTGATACTATTAATAACATGAGCACTCAAAATCTTGATACTTGTTTCTTAATATGTAACTAAAAATCATAGTCTCATACAGAAACCAGAAAGTTCAACACCATGTAGTCCACTAATGAATGTGATTCTGGCTCGCTTTGCCTACGCTGTGACAAAGAATGAGCCCAGTTCCAAGATTTTGTGGTTGTGTTGCTCTTTGTCTATTGCGCCATTGTTGTTATCATCATCATCATCATCATCATCATCCTTGTATGTACTTCCAAAATATTAAAACTACAATAGTTGGCCTGTTGGAGGTATTTTTGTCAGTTTTGTAATAAGCAGTCTTTATCATTACGTTAGTACTTTGGGCATTTCTCATTCTCTGGACTAAAAATATACAGCTTAGTAGGTTGCTTCTATCTTCATCTTCTGACACAAAAGTTCCATCATCTACTGAGACCATTTCATAAAGCTAATCCTTGTAAGATTACTCTCACAAACTACTGAAACTACATGTGTCTTGTACAGTGAGCTTTCCCTAACACCGTTTAAAATAGATCCAACTTCCGTTCTAGGTTGAGTTAAGTGAACTTTTGGAGTGCCACAAACCCGTATCAATTCAACCGAATGTCATAAGCAAGGCAAAAGTGGCACAGTTATGTTTACAGACATGCAGCAAAATACCTTCACTCCTAACATAATCATCTGCATAGATGTCAGGTGAAGCATGTGGTGTACACACCTTGTCTGATGTGCTGGCTGCACTTCATGTGGATTCCTTCGATCAGACCAAAAGAACAGAATGCGATCAAACAGTGGCTCAATGTCTGCCACCCTGTCACTCCAGCCTTCTGGGAATATTCGCAACAAACCACCATGTTCCTGTAAGACGAGTATCCTACACTATATACATAGTTATAAGAACTTACATCTGTTTTCCTTTTTCTTTTGGGGGGGGGGTTTAATTAAAATCAGAAGCAGTAACAACTTAAGGAGAGGTACACTGTTACATATGTGAAATGGATGCTGCATGTCAAATGGTTCACTACCATACACAAGTATGTCCAGACTTCCACTACAAGAATCTACACATTGTTGGTGGCAGTGGACACCAGCAAGAAACTTGCACACATATCTCTGGTCAGGTAGCACCACAGAACTCATCAGTTTCATGGTAAGAGTTCTTGGACAGTGGCTGCTTTCTTATCATACCCATGTCATGCCATAAGTAGGGTAAGGCTGCCTAATTTCATCATATATTTTATTCTAGGTTGCCTTGTGTAATATATTTCTGAATGAAACAAGGTTTCAGTGTTACAGCCTGAACCCTGAACTACATATATATGTAGCTTCCAACATGATCAGGTGCTCCTTTTGAATAAATTATTTTTTAATACATTTCTCTGCAAAAGATTCCCAACCCTATGAGAAGCTTTGTAATTCCATGACAGTGGTATCTGAATTCCATGATACCTAAGTAAATAGCATAAACTATTTAAATGTGCTTAATTCTCTTAAGTATAAGTAATGTATTGTTATAATAACAGTATCTAATAAAAAAACTATGATTCTATGTGAAGTAACTTATAATTCTTCTTTATTGGTACTACAATCCTGTGTGGAAGGCCTCCTCCATGGTCACTACTTTGGAGGTAACTTATAATCACACTATATTTTATAGACCTTCACACAATGAACACAAATAAATGCCTTATTCAGAACCATCAAAAGGAGTTTCACATTCCTTATGATACCACTGTAGGCAGAAGCATTGCTGAATCCATTCTGCACCCATGCTCATCTTCGAGTCATATACATAACCCCTTCTACATACAGAGCAAGTAGAGTTGTCATCACTGTTCTGAGTTTTCTTGCCAAAGCTCAATTTTTTCTTACTGGATGTAGGTCCTGTCATGGAGACTTAACTATCTTCAGAATGTAGAGAAGGCAGAAATATGGCAGGCCACAATGCCTGTAGTTACCAGATGGACCAGTTTCAGAGTTCACTGAAGTGTATAGGGCTTTGACTTGGCAGACTGTTTTCTGCAAGTGGTGTGCATGTTAGATGGGTCAGGGGCCGCGCCACAGCTCAAGCGGTTAATCGCTGGCTTCTCACCACGGTGGCCCAGGTTCGATCCCGGGTCTGGTCAAGTGGGATTTGTGGTGGACAAAGTGGCGCTGGGGCAGGTTTTCTCCAAGCACTTTGGTTTCCCTTGCCAATCTTCATTCAACCAACTGCTCCACAATCACCCTCACCTATCATCTGGGGCTGGTACAATAGGCCAGAAGTGGCCGCAGTACAAGGCATTTAGTCCCACCCCACAAGCAATAAAAAAATTTGTGTAGGGTCATTAATTTATCACAAGCACATATTCTGAAATGTCTGATGTTATGAAAGGTGTTACCAATTGTTGCAGTTTATGTCACAGGAGATCACTCTCACAATATAGTATTCAAAGAAGAGTCCAGGCAACATGAAAAAAAAAATTCATTCAAATATCAATACTTCAACATGCGTTCAAAAACTTTGTTCAAGAAACCTCTCATTTTGAATTTCTAGTAAATTCTATAATCATTAGTCCATTTGTTTAAAGATCCAGTAACTCTGCAGTTAGTCTAATTAAACTTTTCATAACAACTGTAAGAAATGAAGATGTCTCAGGAGATGAGCACATCCTGACAATGGAGGCTTCTCCAAAAAATAAAATTTATATTCTCTATCAACATGGAAAATGGTTCAAGAAGATCTGAATACTTCCCTTACCTTGACATTCCAGTCTTTGTTGAGGTAGTATATCACTGTGATACAACGACCATCTCTATTTGGGTTATCTACATGCTTCACATAATGAGAGCCCGAACCTGGGTAGCATGCCACCATTGCCTGCAACAAGATAACATAACAAGCAACTATCACTACACTGAAGGGAAACGCCACCAAAACACTGATTTCACCCATTACACACCTTTGCAGATGGGCACGTAATATCCGTGTCATGTAGCAAATACCCAGTGGTCACCATCACCATGGAACATGAATCAATTCCTACAACTGTTCACTACACTTTGAAGTACTCTGACTGTTCAATATCTTTGTTAATTAACAGTGTATTGCATTCTGATGAGCAGCTAGCATTATTTCTCACACTTCTCTAATTGTACTGCACAATAAACTATCTAAATGAAAGCAACCATAAACAACAAATAAACACACTACTACAGACATACAATCTGTCACACACTGTGAATTTTGCAACAAGAATTCAAAATTCCTCAAGTACAGCCCTCGATAATATTTTTATAGACAGTGTAAGATTGAGCTCTTCTTATACCTCTCCCATAGTCAACGGCCTATCGCACCTTGATGCCCAGTTTCTCACAGTAAGTGATATAGCTACAGAGGATAATTTAACACCCTTGAAACTGAGAACCAGAAGAATAAATAATGAAACCATTGCTCACTTTCAACGTCTATTAGAGAATGAAACATGGAAACCTGTTTTTGAAAATACGGATACAAACTATAAGTTTAATTCATTTTTACACATCTTTCTAAATATCTCTGAAGCTATGAAGAAAGTCGTCTTCTGGGTTTAGGGGCCGTGTATTCTTCGTTTTGGCCGACGTTCCTCCGAAACGTCGGCCAAAACGAAGAATACACGGCGCCTAAACCCAGAAGAAGACTTTCTTCATAGTCATCGCCGTGAAAACCTCAAAACCTACATCTCTGAAGCTAATTTTCCAGTTCAAAATAAAAGTGTAGGGAATATAAAAAAAATAACTGGATTACACAAGGAATTAAAATATCTTGCAAACATAAAATGAGCCTATATATATAGATGAAGTAATAATAATCCAAACATGAGAGCGTATTACAATAAGCATTGCAAAATTCTAAGCAAAGTAATAAAAGAGACTAAAAGGCAGCATTACTGTAGGCTTATAGCAAAATCAGATAATGAGATAAAAACAACCTGGAATATAATAAAACACAAGTCAGGAAAATTACAGAACAGAACACTGAACAGATAACATCAGTTCTTATAAACGGTGAAAAAGTAAAGGATCCAGAAATAATCGCAGATGCCTTCAATACTTTTTTTTTATGATTACAGAAAATCTAAACTCGCATCAAGGGACAAAAGGTGATGCCATTTCATTTCTAAAAGATGCTTTTCCTGGAAAATTCCCTGGTATTAAGTCCATTCCAACCACTGAAACTGAGATAAAAAGCATATTACTTTCTCCCAAGGCAAAAGACTCATCAGGTTATGATGGAATAACAAGTAAAATTTTAAAAGTTTGTATATCACTGATCAGTCACCCATTAACTCCATTTGTAATCACTCGCTCTTGACTGGGATCTTCCCTAACCGTCTTAAGATTTCAATAGTAAGACCAATATACAAAAAAGGTGACAAATCTAGTATGTCAAACTACAGACCAATCTCACTATTAACTACTTTTTCTGAAGTACTTGAGAAAGTTAAGCATAATAGATTAAGCCATTATTTGCAGACTAATAACATACTGGTCCCAGAACAATTCGGCTTCAGGAAGAGAATATACACTGAAAATGCAGCCTTTATGCTAACAGACAGTGTATTAAAATCTATTAACCAGAAAATGCATGTAGGTGGAATATTCTGTGATTTAGCTAAAGCTTTTGATTGTATTAATCATGAAATTTTGTTAAATAAATTACAATTTTATGGTATTCAAGGAACATTGGCAGGTTGGTTCAGATGCTACCTTGTAGATAGAAAACAAAATATTGAAATAAAATCACCTAATGCAACCCAAAGTTTATTCAAAATGGGGAACAATAGAGCATGGAGTTCCTCAGGGGTCAATTTTAGGACGTTTACTTTTTATAATCTATATAAATGACCTTCCCCCAACAATAAATACCTTATTAATACCCATAATAGTTGCTGATGACACTAGTGTAATAATTTCTAGTAAGAATTTAGATGATTTCTGTATGTCATTGAACAGTGTTCTCTCTCATATGAGTAAATGGTTTGCTGCTAACAAACTGGCCCTGAATCTGGATTAAACAAATATAATAATAAATATACAGAAGAGTCAGTATACACGAAATTCCTTGGCTTACAAATTGATAAGCACTTAAACTGGAAATACCATATCGATCAGTTGGTTCCAAAGTTAAGTGGGGCATGTTATGCAGTAAGAGCTTTGTTACATGTCAGCAACAGTGATACAGTGAAATCAGTTTATTTTTCCTACTTTCACTCTATAATGAAGTATGGACTAATATTTTGGGGTAACTCATCTGACAGCAAAAAGGTATTTACATTACAAAAGAAAATTGTTAAAATCATGGTGGGCATAAAACCTCAAAATTCTTGTAGAGAGGTATTTAGGAGATTACAGATCTTACCTCTTCCATGTGAATATATATTTTTTCATTATTAAGCTTCATTATAAATAACCAAGAACGTTTTCAGACCAATTTGGATGTACACAGTGTTAACACGAGAAACAAGAACCATCTCCATAGACCGGTTGCTAATCTGACATGTTTTCAGAAAAGTGCATGCCAGTGCTCTTTATATTTCAAAGGTAAATACTGACACACGCCACAGGTTACCTATTCTGCAGGAATGCTGGTGTTTCTGTTTGGTGAGGTCACATAGTAACACAATCTGCTGAATGAATTTCTTGACATAAAACCATTCACCTCAGTTGGGATACATACGAGTATATGTCCCTATTCTTTCAGCTCCAAGCCATGAATGTGTACAGGGACACATGAAAGTAAAGTTCCATTTTAACATTGAAACTATGTGATTGGTGATAATCTCATGCTCCCAGTAATCCTAGTCCTAGAGAATCCACTGGATAGGAAGCTGGGTTAACACCACAACTTCTCTTGACATGGAAGAGGAAGAGCAGGAGTGGATGGGGGTGTGTTCATACCACAAAATCTACAAATTGATCTATAGTGTATCATGTGACTTCAGGGTAGATGTTCAGTAACAGACTGGCTATGAGCTGGAAAACAAGTGATAATTCTTCTCTATATAATCACATCTGAATGGGCTGTGGTGAACATCCAGCCTCACACACCATGAACTTTTTCCCTCAGGGATAATATCGCTGAATGATATAGATCACCAGTGACCCTCACCTAATGCTGCAATTTCATGGTATTCTAAATTTTATACAAAACTTTCCACTTTAATCTAGTATTTATTTAGTCTACAATATCCTTTTACATCTTCAGTTTTTTTCCCCATCTCTTGATCTGTGTCTACAACTGTTTCATTACTTTGAACTGTTTAATGCATAATGTAATTACTACAATGCATCAAAGCACAAACATTTGCAAGATATGTGATGTCACATTCTTTCATTTTTAGAACATAACTTTAATAACAGGTAGGATTAATTCGGTGTTTCTTTCTTGCAATGAAAACAAATTCATGTGTGAAAGTATAAAGTGGTGTAATGGAAAACAGAAGTAATACAATTATTTAGATAAAAGGGGTAGAGCTATCCCCAACAGGCTGTCGCGGCCCATAGGGTTGAGAGACATTGAGGCTCCCATATTTTCTAGATAATCAGCTCACAGGTGGTGGCGAGGATGTCAGCCTTATGAACTGGCTGCCCTTTACCCCTAGGAATATTCCTGGTACTCATTTCTGTTAGAGGTTGAGTTCACCTCAGGGCCATAGTGCGGCTGGAAGGGTTCAGCCAATTGAAAAATCCACTGATCTCATTGAGAATCCAACCCAAGACCTTCTGGCTTGTAGCAAAGTGCCTCACCTAACTATGCTACTGTGCCCCAATTATTTCAGTACAGTATATTATTTTAAGAAAAACCCAGACTGTCTTTAAATGTGTTTTTGTCAAGGTCTCTCATGGAATACTTCAGTAGTTAAAAGATATGACTGGTAACATGGTACACATGAAAGCAGATTTCTGTATCATACATCTGTGTGCATGAAACTCAAAATTAAAACATACTTGCAGATTTATTATGAAGTATGTGATTCATACGGAATCTGAGAATTTCAAACAAAAAGCCCCAAATCCAAGCATATAACAGAAACCAAATATATAATTCATTACATTCAGACACAGTTCCCATTATACTGAAGTAACTGAAGCCTCGAATATGGAAAAGCACTAACAAGACAAAAACAAGGAACACAGTTTTAATGTGACTCTGTGGGTGACACCAATGTGGCCTACAGTCTTTATCACAAGATTTACAGCAAGCATGATGTAACAGCATGAGTAAAGTAACAGAAAACTGTGTTCTTAATTTCTTACAAATTAAATGATAATACTATCACAGCGGGGGCACGCAGTAGCGTAGTTGGTTGAGGCACTATGCTAGAAGCTGGAAGGTCGCGGGTTCAAGTCCCAATGAAGTCACTGGATTTTTTCAGTTGACCTAATCCTTCCAGCCGCACTATGGCCCTGGGGTCAACTCAGCCTCTAAAATAAATGAGTACCAGGAATTGATTAAATAATTTTCCTGGGGAGTAAAGCGCGGCCGGCGTAAGGCTGACAACCTTACCGCCATATTTGAGCCAACTGTCTAGATAATGTGAGACCCTCAACGTCTCACAACCCTATGGACATTCACGGCTTGTTACAGGGATAGCTTTACTTTTTACTTTTTTTTAATACTATCACAACCTTATAATAATTATGCAGCAAATCAATTTAACATCCAAAATAGTATAGAATAACACATCATAAACCTAAACTTATTCAGGTTTATTTAGGTTCCTTTCTGCATAAAAACGAAATTAAAACTGCATCATGACTAAATCAACATCAGTGATGGAACACTGATGGAACACTGATGGCACACTGCTGACTGCAAGTGGGCTTTGGGGGATATTT